GCTTGTTCAAGAAATAAAACATGTAACAAGTAATCACGTAAACAATGCAAACAATTTCCCATGCAATTCTATGTAGGCCTCTACCCGTCGTCCTATAGGTTTTCAAACCAAGGGTCTGATACGATTCTGTAACGACCCAGCTCCTCATGGATCCGGATCATTAAACGGGTCCTAACCCGGCCCAAAAACATCCAAGGGTAAAACGGTAATTTTACATTAAATTTAAATGTCGAGGTCCAAAAAGGGCAAGATGGTAATTTATCATAATTTAATAAATTGAGACTCAAGGGTACAACGATCATTAACTTGTATCACATAGTAAATAAAATAAGGTTCGGGGCAATATAGTCCTTTCGGGGGTAAAAAAATAATAATTATCCTATTTTATTGGGTCATAATATAATTACTTGCAACATCAATTAGGTGCCAAGTGTAATTTAAGAACTTAAATTGGCAATTACATAAAAAGACAGAACCGGTCAACGTATACACCTTATACGTCAACTGGTTTGGGTTATGAACAGTGGGAAAACCCACTGCCACGATACCGGTCGACGTATGGGGAGCATACATCGACTGGTTTGCGGTCAGGATACCGGTCGACGTATGGAATGCCATACGTCGACTGGTTTGGGATGTCAATTACTCAAACATACACTATGAAAATACCGGTCGACTGGTTTGGGAAACTGTACGTCGACCGGTTCTAGAAAATCTTCACTTCCACTTTCTACTGTCCTATGTAACCCCTATACACTAACTTTTGGTCGTTTAACCACCCACGTCACTACAATAAATTCATACATTTCAACAATAAATTCAAGTACAACAACCACGTTATTAACGTAATTCCACACGTCACTAAAATACACTAGAAGATTTAGTGTAATTAAAAGTTAATTACATTTTAACATCAAATAAAACTACAACAACCGTCAACAACATGAATCACCACACGTTACTTAAATACACAAAAGGCTTATGATTGAATAAAACTTAATTACATTATCCAATGGCCAACCTTGCAAACTTATTTATATTCTCCAAAAACTATGATTATATATGAAATGGCCGAATACAAAAATAGCAAAAATCATCTTCTAACAACTTTCAATTTTGAGGTGGATTGGCATCCGCCGGTTCTTTTCCAAGACCTGAAAAAAAGATATATATAGTAGGGTGAGCTATATGCTCAGTAGGTGACACTTAAGACATGCGTCTTGTGTCCCCGTGAATCCAATTAAAGCATAGGCCAATGGGAAATAGGGAGCATGCAACATAGGGGATTAATACAACATTCCAACCAAATTTGAATACAAGGAATGTAATGTCGTGGAATGCGAATGCATGCCAATGTCACTCCCTATTTTCATTCTCAAAATCATCACTTTCAACTGTTAATACAGTGCCCTTTGGTGACCCCGCCGCGACACGAGAGGAGGATTGGCTAGTGTCCCTGACCCTTGGTAACCCCGTGGAGTCATTATGGGGCCCAGCTAGCTCAACCGCGCTAGGGCGACTCCCTAGTCCCCTCTAGGCTATATTAACCTCCGGCCCGTTGGTAACCCCGCAGCGATCGGGTTTGCGTAAAACCATTTTATCCAAAACACTTCCCCGAAATTCCCGATTTCATTTCGAAACAAATTTCTCCTGTTTCATGCAACCCAATGGTACATGTATGCACATATATTCCGTACTTCCAATATTATGTTATTTAAAGAATTACAACACCCAATCAAGCATATATCATGTTCAACATTTCTAGATAGGTCATCAACATAATAAACACAACAAAGCATCATCTAGACATACTTTTCACATAGAACAAGTCATATTAAAGATCGTGAAATTCTCTAGACATCACTTACACAACATTAAAGCAATTAATTCTCAATTTAAGCATGTTTATTGCACAAAGAAGATAAAATTCACAAAAGAGCAAGAACATTATGAATTAAGGATCCTTACCTCAAGTTTGCACCAAAACCCTAAAGATGGGTCTCAATTTCGAACTCTAAAGGAAGGCTCAAAGCTGAAATTGTTGGAATGAGTGCATAGAGCTCGTCGTGCTCTCCGTTTTGTCTCAAACGGTTCTCAAATTCATCAAAGATTGAGAGAGTTAACAAGATTCAAAGCTTGAAGCCAAAACAAAAGAAAAATGAAGGGAAATGGAAGAGAGATGGAAGCTTACGGGAGTGAGAAAGATTGAGAGATAATATGGTCTCTAGACCATTAAGCCTTAGTGATGGGTCCCACCATTTCCAATTTTATTTTCCATTTTCTTTTTGCTCCAGTTTTACACCACATACACACACAAGTGTACCACATGCAAATACTACTTAATCCACATAATTTAAAATGTACACAATGCAAATGGACCTAACCACAATCCCGTACACATAACGTGAAGAGACGAAAATGCCCTTGCGGTGACAAAATTCTGAGAAAAAGAAAAATGCAGAAAATCGAAAACGTTACATTCTCTTTGGAGATGTTCAAAGCAATTAATGGTGCAAGACTCAAATGAATCGTTGCTAAGGCTTTACAATTAAACAAAGTGAAATATGCATACTTCACCATATCTAGTTTCTTTCCCGAAAGAGGTTGATACGAATCCTTCTGGTATCTAAATAGTCTTTTATTTGCATCTTCCAGAAACCAAAGTTCAAACCATTGAACCTTTCGATCTTCACTTTCCATTCTTCTACCACTGTGCATAACCTCACTTTGATACCAATTGTTGACAAACACACAGAAATTTATAGAATCAAATCATTTGGAAACAAAAACAAACACGAAAAGAAATCACGACACACAAATTTTACTTAATTGGTTTGATAAGATCATCTACGTCCATGGTTCACATTGGCTTCATTATTATCAAAATTGTAGGAATTCGAATACAGGGATACAAAATTACAAGCCCTTCTGTCTCTCTCAAACAGCTGTGTAGCCCAACAATGAAATAAATAAGCCAAAGTAGGCAGTAATAACCTTTATAGTTAAAATAATTTCACCCATTTTAATTTTCCAAATAAAATGGTTAGGGCAGGGATGGATCTAGGAATTCATATAGGGGGCAAATTTATATAGAGGAGTTTTATTTATTTATAATTTTAGTAGGGGCAATTTCAAAATTTTATGAGTATAAATGTAAAAAAGTATAAATTTAGGGGCATAAAATAAAATAATAAAAATTTTCAATGGAGGCCGCCCCCACTAAGCTCTTCACAGATCCGTACTTGGCTAGGGCTAAACCCAGACGACCAGAGTATACAAACCCAACAACATTTGCACATCAAAATGCAATGCCAAAAATTGAAATGAAGCAGATTCAATCCAATGCAACAAGTTTAAGAGAGCGAGTCTTGACGCAACCATAAAATTATTCTATAATGACATGAAAATTATGAATTTAAAATAAAAAAATAATCTCTCAATATACAAAATAAGACTACACAGCACCTAACTTTCTCCGGGCCGTTTGCCTTTTGCTGCAAAGCCTAAAACCTCATATCAGTTCAAGTTTTTCTCCCTTGATTGGGACCCACGGTGATACAAACGCAAAAATGGCCACGCCTCTCTAAGCAATTTTTTTTTTTTTTTTTTTTTCAGAGCCTCTAAGCAATTCCAAGTTGCTGCTTCTGTCAAGCGCATTGACTCAATATTGGATGGCGGCGACTATATAATCTTAAACCAGGCTTGGAAAATTCTAGAACAATGACAGACATGATGATTTTTTGTCCTTGTCACGCCACATGAACTGCATACAACGGTTGAAGGAGGATGAAAAGACAGTTCCATCAATTCTCTAGAATGAAGTATTCCATAATCAACATTTAAGTCTTAACAATAATAAATTAATTCAATTATTGAATTTTACTCGGTTGTTAAAAATATTTGAAGAAAGGAACTGAGTCCAAGATTGAGAAGATGGATGTCTGCTTGAAAAAGGTACCATGAAATACTCCGTGTGAATATGTGGATCCATAAGTGAATCTCACTGATGCATATTTTTCTTTGTTTATCCACGTCATCATAAATGAAATCAATAATTCCAAGCTTAAAAGTAGGCGGGTACGTGTTATTTTCTTATCTAAAAATTTATTATTTTCCTAATTAATTAAATCATAACATACATTAAAATAGCATTGAAGTTCCATTTTTTAAAAAAATATAATTACAAAATTACTCAATCGTGTTCTAATTATATCTCAAAGGTATTCATATTCCATTTGTTTGTCAAGATAAAAATATTTCATATTTAATATTTGTCTAACTTTGTTTTGTCAGACAACGTGGCTGAGGTACCTTTCATCCAATTTGCAGGAGGGTTGTTCGATTTGACTGGATATAACTTTAATACTAACTATAATAGATAATCTTAAAATTAACATAAACTAGTAACTAGTGCATGTATCAATACATATATTTTTAACACTGAAATAAGAATCTCTGACAATTTATAAATAAAATAATTACATAATTACTTCAATGAGTCTTGGACTTTGTCACAATCTCATTGCCACTCACACACTTTTAGCCATAACACTTAAATGTGATACTGAATCATAAACGAATCAAACTTAATGCAACTTTAATGAATCGACCTATTATTACAAACTCAAAACTATCATGTATTACATACTCATTCAAATATACCCATTCCATCAAAGACACCACCTACTAACAATTACCCTTTCCCTTTATGTATTATGTCATGACCATTGTCATCTGAATTCAAACCACCTGGCAATATATGTGTGTCGTGACATTATCATACGAATCCAAGCCACCTTCTTTGTCTCAAACTATTTCTTTGGGCTTTGAAAATGACAGTCGCCGCCTCTCTCTCTCTCTCTCTGAGAGCCAAGCCTCCTTTGCCTATATGTTTACAAAATTTTCCGTCTATATAAGTCTCATTCATTCGTTTTCAATTGCACTTGTATTATTCATTAATAGTAATTTTGAGTTTTGAAACCAAAAAAGAATCCAACAGAATGGAAAACAAAGTAGTAGCAGAACAAGCACTCTCAAACCCTCTTCTCACTCCATACAAATTGGGCAACTTTCAACTTTCCCACAGGTATATATTGTATATATACACACACACATATATAACTAGCACTACCATTTCCCCATAATTTCCCTCCTGAAATCATTCATTTGCTCTGGTTATAATTTTGATTTGCTGGGTCCTACTTGGCCAATACAATTTACAGTATCTATTATTATTAGTATTAGTATTTTAGACGCACCCTGAGACCTAAAATACAACATCGCCCTTGGTTCAAAAATGAGAGATCATATTATCTGGGCTAATACCCATTGATTAATATATATATAACTTTATATTAGGGACAATATTTTTTTTAGGTGTCTAGATAAACTAAACACTCACTTATTTGTCTCACTAGGGACTCAAAACTCTCAAATTTCATTTCATCCGGAAGGAGAGGGTATATCACTTTCTGTATTTTTGCTTTCCTTTTTTATTTTATATTTTTTATTCTGTTGTATCCATTTTTATATAGCATGGATTTGACTTTTTATGCAACAAACGTTTGATGATATCCTGTTGGGAAATTCTGTAATTTAATTATGAAATTTAGTTGTTTATTGTCAATTAATTTCTTTGAGTTCAACTAATTCTCTTCTGATCGGTTAGTGAATATGTTAATACACTAATTGGAAAAAGAGTTGGTTTTCTCCAATAGCTGAGTAGATTAACTTAAATACTGTGTCCAAACAGATTGATATAATGATACCTTCTTTTTTGTTTTTTTATTCCTTCATTTTATTTTTTTTAACAAGAATGAGCATCTGGGTGCTAAATTTAAAAATTGTTAATTAACCATTTTAGCATTTCATATTCTTCAGAGTTGTTTTGCCACCATTGACAAGGCAGAGATCTTTCAGAAATGTTCCTCAGCCACATGCTATCTTGTACTACTCCCAGATAACCACCAAAGGAGGCCTTCTCATAGCAGAAGCCACTGGAGTTTCTGACACTGCCCAAGGGTATTCAATTACAATACAATAGTTGATTTAAAGAACAACACATACATTTGAGTATATTATTGCTTTCCTTTGAAGTTTTTGTTGGTACTGGTATATATACCGATTCGAACAAGGAAAAAAATAAATTAAATTTGTGGCTTTGAGGCGTGTAGATCACTTTACTCAAGGTGTTATATATTTTTTCCCACTCCATTTGAGTTTGCTATCGGGTAAAATACCTCTAGCAAAATCGTAGAATCTGCTATTAGTGATTCTGAAGAGTACTCCAAAAACACTCGTTGAAACTGTGTATAATTTTGATTGTGGACCACAATAGAGAGAAAGAGAGAAATTACCTATTAATTTCAGCATCAAGTACACTATTTATAGAGTATGAATGACTGCCATTTTTGAATCAGAGGTCACCATTAGGCATGACTATTATGAATACATATAGCTATTCATGATGGTGTGCCACTCTTCAATAGTAGATATGACTACTGGCAATTAGTGTAGGCAGTTTAAACCCATCTAATCTCTCTCTCTCTCTGGATATATATATATATATATATCCAATAGTATAATCAGAACTACTGCTTTCTTCTTCATTATAGATACAGAGATACACCTGGTATTTGGACAAATGAGCAAGTAGAAGCCTGGAAACCCATAGTAGATGCTGTGCATACCAAAGGTGGTATCTTCTTTTGTCATCTTTGGCATGTGGGGAGAGTTTCAAATCAAGGTATACTAGTTTTGACTTCTTAATTATTCCCTTTCTGTATTCTCTCTTTTGTCATGGGATGACTTTTAACACAGGATTAATTAAATGTTTCAAATGTGCTTTTGTTGACAAAAACTGATTATTTACAAGTTTTGAATTTTTGGGATATGTCCCACAATGGATCTTTGAAGGTCCATGGTATATTTGTATCAAGAAGTCTGAACTGACTTAAACATTCCATGAGGTCATAAAATGAAACATTAAATTATAATATAGCCAATTATTTTTTCCAAATTTTGTTTTACTGTTTTCAGTTGAACAGTCAATGGTGAAGAAGTATTTGTGTTGCCAATTGCAATTACATGAATAAACAAGCTTAGTACCATTTTTACAATATTTTTTTACTTGGCCTCCTTTAAATCTTTCCTCTAAAGTGAATATTCTCACTTATTGTAAATCTCTTAGCAAGATCATTTCTCCTTCTTCTTGATAGTAATATTCCCTTTAGGAATCACCAATATACATTGATGAATGACCTTAGAGGCAAGGCTTGTGGTAGCCTCCTTTAGAAGAGAAAGGAAACCTTAAAAACTAGAGAGAAAAAATATATTCTTTCTTTTCTTCCAAAAGTCTACCTTAAAATATACATGGACTAATGTATATATAGGCAACATAAAGATAAGTAAAGAAAATAATAAATCATTCTCAATCTCTAATTCACATATCTCAATTCTAATAGGACTCCAATATCAACTTGGGCAATGGGTGAGAATCTTTTGGGCTTACTATTTTCTTGACTATTATAAATTAATAATTGATCTAATCCATTAAACCATGGACCCAATTCAATTAACTCATAAATTAATTTCTACTCCACTAAAAGAAATTAATTGCACTCCAATTAAATAGTAAATAACTTCTAACCCAATGTTGCACTTTGACCCCTCTATGCATAATTATTAATCGGATTATAAAGTCATCAATCCGACAACATAATTAATATAATTATTTTGTTACCTTTGATTATTTCCGGCTTGATCACAATAAAAGTTTGTTTGACAAAAATAATAATTTACTAAATAAATATATAGAAAATATTTTGTCTAAAACATATGAAGGCCTTCGAATTTAATTTGTGATTAACCATAATCAATATAAAATAAATACAAGTAACATTGATGCAAATATTGAGAATATAACCCTCTAACTATTAATTACATAACTATTCAAAGTATCGGTCTAAAGATCCCGAAGTATCCGCCGAACAAATCAAGGTAATTATTAATTAATAAAAGAGTCTATACTTCTCTCATACTTGAGAGTCAAAAGTCATGACTGTGATAGAGAGTAATTGCATACGACGACTCTCGCAATATATCTCAACCTATCATGGACTCGGTTCAAGTCTTAGTTAATTAAATGTCCATCCATAATTACCGATTATAAATAATTTATGATTACTATTTATATTCATGTATCGATCGCTATCACATACATATATAAATATCTCTTGTAATCAAATGGACACTATCAATTCCATAATGAATTGAAACATAATACATTGAATTCATCAATTATATAAATCATAAATATTTCAGATATGTAAGGAACATATATCACTATAATCCAAATAGGAATTTGCTATGTCAGGGCATATAAATCCCAACAGCTCCCACTTGCCCTCATAACCAATTCAAATTACATCTAACTCCAATGTTATCCAGGTGATGATCAAAACTATTGATCGATGACACCTTTGTTAATGAATCAACAAAGTTGTGTTCTAATGCAATGTTCTAGCCAGGAGTACATTTTCTTGCCGAACAATATCATGTAAGACATAATACTTCCTCTCAATGTACCTTGTTCCTCTATGAAACCTTGGGTCATTGGTTTGGACTACTTCTGCACTCTTGTCGCAATATAGCTTGATAGGCAGGCTAGTATGCTCCACAACTTCTAAATCAGTGAGATCAAACCAAAAGGCTTCCTTTACTGCCTTTAAGGCTGCAATGTACTCCACCTTCAGGTTTGAGTCAGTAGTTGAAATTTACTTAATAATCTACCAACTGATTTCCCTTCCATTGAGTGAACATACACCAAGTTATGAACCTTATAATATCTACATCTGATTTAAAATCAGAACTAGCATAATCGACTAGAACCACATCATCACATCCATATATGAGTATGAGATTATATGATATCCCTCAATTCTAGATCAACGGGTGATCAAGTTTCAACACAGTCCGAGGGATACCAAACAATCAATATATAAACAAGCAGGAATAAAACTGAATTAAGAATAAAAATAATAGTGCGCTGAAAGAAAACTAAAATAAAAATCCTCAATCTCTAAATAATAAATTAATATTATTTAAATCCTTCAAATCCGTACAATTCGGGAATCCATCCAGTGGACTCCTAATAATTCCAACTGATAAATAAATTTAAAGAACAAATATCCAAAACTAAAATAAGAAAAAAAATCCTATGTAGTCGGAAGAGTGAGTGACTGTATCTGCATCACCACGAACAAGCCCTAAGTCTAGTACTCACAAACACCTGAAAAATAAAGGTAGGTTAGGCCCACATGCAAGTTCCATCCTAGTATAACCCGTACATAAACCCGATACGCAGATACATCCTAGATAGCTCAGCAATATCTAAATAGTTCGTAAATATAAATATATCCACACTACAGGACTTTCCCTGGACTACAAGCCTATCTCAACCTGACTAGCAAACCTAGCAGGGCACACATCAAACCATCATAGCCAGTTATGCATCCCAATGCATATACGCTCCTTAACCATCGATCCTGAGACTCAAGCTCATATCGTGGCATCATAAATATATATATATATATATATATATATATATATATATATATATATATATAAAGTCCATCCAAAACCAACGTAGTGTCGCTCAACTGTTCATTGTCAAGACACGACATTTACTTAGGATTTAAATGTTTCAATTAAATCCCTATCCTTCATACTACAGAAAAATAAAGAGCAAACATCCATTATGTCGTTCAACTATTTTAGTTGACAAAACATACATCCATGTAGGATTTAACTGTTTTAGTTAATCCGTTCCTTATGTATGAAGGGGTAGGACTTAGCTTTTTGATCTAATTCATCCCTGATATGTCACCGTCCCATACCGGTACATATAATGCAAATGTTCCACAAGTGATGCACATTCATTAAAACATCAAATATATCTAGAAACCAACATAATAGAAATCAGTTATTAATAAGTTCTTATTATACATCCAGTATATGATTAGAATCATAAATCCTCCAAATAAATTGTTAAAGTAATGATAAACAATTTATATTATTCATATCCATACAGTTGATAAACAAAAATTAAAACCGTTCATCAAATAACATCCATAGCATGATATAATGTTTATCAGGGTTATAACCGAGCACATTATACTAAAAAAACCAAAACCAATCATTTCCTACTAGTCCATTTAAGTTAACAAACAGACTAGCGACTTAAACATTCCACAATCTTAACACCATGCAAGTTATTACACAAATTTAATGATGTTCATTAAGTTCTTAACTATGAACCCAAAGCAAGATATCCTGATGCTCAGAAGTATATACAGAGCACCTACACTCCACTCCCAAAATACATTCCCATCAGTCTGTTTTCCTTATTACAACGACTAATAAAATTAACTTCCAAGTTTCGTGACTACATGCAAGCTATAACGACATGTCATGAAGTCCGTTAACCCAATAAACCGACCTTCCTGGCCTCCATTAAACTTTATATATATTCATATGACATCCCACAAATAATTGAATATCAGTTCATTTTAATTCCTAAAGCAAACTTGAAATTTAAACTTTCCTCCTTCCTTGACAACATTGCACATTTATATTTTAAAATTGATGCTGCCCATTCCTCTGGCTTGAACCAGTAAATCCTAAGTCTTAAACATGCTTTATACATTATTTAAAAACCCCATGAAACTCCAGAATTACACTGCAACCCCCGAAGTATCAAAAAATTACCGAAAATACCCCCGAAGGGGTTCTGTTCAGGGAGACGGATCCCCCCACATGGGAGCCATCTCTAGGACTCCCAGAGCCGGCTCTCCCTCATGGAGAGCTGGCTCTCTATTCATGGGAACCGGCTCCCTCCATTAGGGAGCCGGCTCTCCCCCTGAGAGCCCTCTCCAGACTTCTCTGTTCGTCTTCTTCTTCCACGGTGAACTTCAACCTTCTGTTCCTAGTTTTTGTCTAGAGTTTTCAGAGTACAAACAAGGTCCAAATAGCCCTAGAAATTCTTTGAATTCCATTAAAAATTTATTTACAGAGGTTTAAATCCGAATCGTAGCAGTCTATACAAGAAAGCAAATATAGTTATACCAAAAACGTAGAATAGATTTCAGTTTGATTCATTATGCATAAATATTCGTTTTAAAGTTTAATTACATACCTACGGTTCCGTCTAAGTTCCTAAAGTCCTAGAAACTCTTCACTTTCAACAATGAATTAATTTACAAAAGTCTCAATTCATAAACAAACACAGTATGCAGGAAACCGATTCCAGTTCTTTAAACACAACAAGTTACAGTTTGTTACACATGCATCAACCATTAGTTTTAAAGTTGAATTAACCCTGGAGACTATAAAGAATGCATAGAACACAAGTTTACAGGAAAGAGATAATCTGAAACTTGCCTTTAGGTTTCGGTTTGAAACCTTTCAACCTCTGTCTGCAAATTCCGGCAAACCCAAGACCTTCCCTTCCTCCTCTGGTCACTGCCTTTTACCCCTGTTACTTCTTGGCTCCAACCACAAGAAATTCCCTTACTTCATCTCTCAAAATCCCCTCTCTGTTTATTCTCAAAACAAATTCCAGAACCTCTATTTTCCCCTCTCCAGATATAACGTGAATAGGGTTTTCTCAAAACCCTTGCAAACATATATTGTTCTATATATATAGTCTCTATCAAAACCTTAATCCTAATTCCACGAATCATTAAGTCGGCTACCACTTATATATATACAAATTAAACCCTAACTTAAATATCACCCAAACCTGGTATTAAACAAGTGCCCAAAACAATCACGTTCATAATAACTATATCTGTATTAAATAACCAACTAATTAATTATACTTAAAACAAATACAAGAAAACAAATAAATAAATATTAAAAAAATCACTCAAAACACATACAAAATTTCAAGTCAATAAATAATTAAATGCTCAGAAAACCAATAATCAATTAATTAATTAAAATGCACATAAAATCAAATTTAAATTCCCATTTTATCCCTTTTAAAAACTAGGGGTATTACAGATTATTAGTTCTCCTAAAGTACTTTATTATA